CGTCCTTGCTCCTAGTAGCGATGCCAGGAGCCCCTAGTAACGTCCTTTGCTCCTAGTAGCGATGCCCTTTGCTCCTAGTAGCGAAATTTTACCATAGAAATGCACGTGTTTCAAAGTGTGGGGCAGGAGTTGAGCCGGTCGACATCATCTTCGAAAGCACACTTGTTCCGCAGGAAAAAACCATGCACCCCATTTGATGTTTGAAAGACTCACCACACAATATGATGTATGTTGTCAGGTCGGTCAACTCTAACCAGTCTGAGTTTGATGTAGGTGTAATTGATGCTTTGTGGTCAAGCTTGGCTTGCCGCCCCTGACCTTCTTGGCTTAGTTTTCCAAGTTGCATATTGAAACGTGAAAGAGAAGTGGGTCTGCTCACACCTGTCACAGGGCTCTTCGATTTGCATGTTTGCCAGTGTTTGTGATGCTGGTTTGTAAAGCTCCACAAAATTGCTTCTAGTTCAGAAAAAAAAGATAGGATCACAGTAAACTGTTCGAAGCTTCAAGGAAAATCCGCCAAGGCGTTTCACAGGTTTAGAGAGACAAACATTGGCTTTCGGAAAGCTGTGCACCAAGTGATGTGAAATTTGGCGCCGGTTTCCCCGATGTGGTGCCTATGGCCAGGTGGTGAGAAGCTCAGGGCGAAGGATTTGAGCTTTTGCTTTGTCATTCAAGGTGGGCAATTCTAACCAAGGTGCCGTTGCCTCTCGAAGAAGGCACCGGTACGATGATGGTATGACTGACCATTGATGCCATGAGCCAACCCATCATGGTTCACTTTTACTCTGTAGGTCAGTCCAGTGGAAGACTTCGGAGGTATCCTGCCGCAGCCAGATGCCGAGATGATCCGAGATAATTAAACTTAATTACTACTAGCAAACATTGTTACTACTAGTAAGGCACTTGTTACTAGTAGCGATGCACTTGTTCCTAGTAGCTTAGGATTTTGAAGAGATGCTACCAAATGTCGCTGACATATGTGGAATACTTGAAGCGATCGTGTTGACCGCTGCGTTATTCCAAGGCCAAGTCATGCGGCTTTCGAGGCCAAGGCATGCACTGCTAAGTGATCAAAAAGGACATTTTAAAAAATGAAGGTAAGGTAAAAGCGAAGCGGCCCGAGCCTTCTTTTTTTATCGCCTTTGTATGCTTTTGTGGTTCGCACTCAGAGCTCTTTCTCAGGGCTCGGTTTGCAGATGTCCGAGATAGGGCTAACAATGTTCGGCTCAAACCTTCACTCAGTTATGCCCCATCTTGTTTCTCAAACACAGTATGATAAAGTTGACTTTAGACTTTAGACTTTCTGCAGCGAAAAGAGGAGACAGAGAGTTGCCCTGGGTGCCTCACTGTCCGGA